GTAGTAGGTAGGTAGTAGGTAGTAGTAGTGTGTGTGTGTGTGTGTGTGTGTGTGTGTGTGTGTGTGTGTGTGTGTGTGTGTGTGTGTGTGTGTGTGTGTGTGTGTGTGTGTGTAGTGGTTGTTTTTGGGACAGCGTTGAGTGAGAGGAACTAAGGGCGTCTAGGTTCATGGGCCTTCAGTGTCCCAACAGCGTCCTTCACTGCATGAAAGATGATGTTCTTCACCTGAGAAAATATATATGAGAAAAAAAGAGTCTGTTAAAACAAAGACATGGAGAAAAAAACGCCTCATCTAAATTTCTTTCCACGCTTCACTTAAATATGCTTTGAAGAACATGAAGTCCTTTTATCTGTTGTCCAGCACAACAGCAAATTAAATAAACTTTGGTATACTGCTGTGAAAAAACACTAAAAACGGACATAATTCACTGGTTAGTGAAATGCATGAGAGAAAGGCATATTGACCTGTAGCTTGTCTTCGTGGTTTGTATGAGTAGTGGACAGGTGTCTGAACTCCTGGGTCAGTCTGAAACAGTGCTTCACGTGCTCAGGAGACACAAAGTCCTCTGCCACCTTGATACAGCTGTACAGGTTGTGCACCTGGAGGGGAAGAGCAGAGAATGAACTAATATGCTACTAAAACAAGAGAAATAAGCATCTTGAATGATCTGAATAAACGGATTTCTAGCAAGCCTCTTTAATATAACACAACATGTCTTACCTGGTGTGGCGCTCCAGCAGGGATAAACACGGCATCTCCTAAGAACTGTACAATGGCCCAACCCTGGACGCCGTATTCTTCATAGAGCCTGCGGCGGAGCACCTGGTCCAGGTACCAGCTCTGGTCGTGAATGGGGTCGTGGTCTGGAGGGTTCTCTTGACCCTGCTCCTCTCCCACCTGACACAGAAACAATGACCACCATTATCTTTGGTTGTTGTTTGAAACCTGCTGAAATCTTAGATTGATAAACAAGCATGCAGTGGAGCGTGATGAGGATTAAATGAATGCAGCTCAGCCTGCATGAAGAGGATTGTTTTTGTTTGTGTGTTACAATGAGTGACATCAGGCCATCCAACCCCCCAGGAAGATCGTCAAACTTTAAAGGTCCCATGTCATGCTTTTCCGGTTATTACCCGTCCCCTTGTGTGTTAGGAAGGTTTTTCTGCATGTAAATGGTCTGCAGAGTCAAAACCCTCAAAGTACACCCTGTAGCGAGTAAAACTCTAACACAGAAAATACCTCCCCAAAACGCCTCGTTGGAGATACGTCACTGTCCATTGATTCTTCCGGGTAACTCATGATGTCATGCGTTACCTGGAACCAAATGGACCAATCCGTGGAGCCGTTACGTTACGTCCGCGGAGCCGTTACGTTAAGCCCCTGCTGATTGGTCCAAATTGACCAATCCACGGACTTCCTCACACACACACTCAGTGCAGGCAGCTCTGCTGATCTCTCCTCCCTGGNGTGACATCAGGCCATCCAACCCCCCAGGAAGATCTTTAAAGGTCCCATGTCATGCTTTTCCAGTTATTACCCGTCCCCTTGTGTGTTAGGAAGGTTTTTCTGCATGTAAACGGTCTGCAGAGTCAAAACCCTCAAAGTACACCCTGTAGGGAGTAAAACTCTAATACAGAGAAGACCTGTCTGTGCTGCCCCTGAACGCCTCGTTGGACATTTCTCTTTTTCTTCCTGGGTACA